TTGCTTGCTCAGAATGCCTCTCACTACCGTCAAGCATATCAGGCGGCACATGCCCCCCATCAGGTTGACTTGCAAGCCTGGTAGTACAGGCTAACAGATGTCTGCTGCTGATGCTCCCTCGTGTTCATCCTCCTCGCGAGGAGGAAAAGGGGGAGAAGGAGGAGGACGAGGAGGATGAAGAAGAATGAGGAATAGGACGACGACGAGAATGACCACGACGACAACGACGACGACAACGACGAAGACGACGACGACGACGATGACGACGACAACGACGACGACGCCGACGAGACCAGGCAGGGCTGAGGTGTATCTGCACATCTTGCGCGGTCCCTCCTGCTCCCCATCTCCCTGAATTGGCTCGGTCTATCGTTGCGTGAGCCCCCGGTGGAGCAAAGACGTCTCCCACCAGCGGCTGCGGCGGCCACTGGGTGGAGAAGAACCCGATGTCCTCCATGGTCCGCGGCGGCCCACCTGGGCGCAATCAGAACTGGGCGCGCAGGATCCGCTGCGCGAGCGGGAAACAGGCACCCGCAGACATCACTCGGAAGGCGAAGTTGAAGGCTGGCAAGGTCCTGCGCCTCGTCCTGGCGGCGCGCCTCCTCGTGGCGCGCGGTCCAATGGAGGCTCGCCGAAGGGCGATGGAAGAGGCGTCGCGGGCAACGGCAAGCTGGCCAAGCAACTCCTCGCCCCCGTGCAGAAGCAGGACCAACTCAGCGGCCAGCCACAATCCAGTCAGCCGCGCGGCCTCGCGGGAGGTTCTGGCAACAGAGGTGGCACCACGAGTTCGAGCCAAGCATATGACGATCGTGATGGCGCTTAGATTGCCAAGCTCCACAGCCGTGCCGAGGCTTGGATGAGGCACTTGCAGTCATCAGAACATCTCCTGACGCTACATCGGCAGCGCAGAAGGACGTCGGAAACGAGCTCGCGTCAGCGCGCAAGAATATCAACAAGTCCACGCCTGTGCTCACGCGCCATGATAGCATTGAGCAGCAAAGGCTTACCAGCAAGCTTGAGGAGGAGGTCACGGAGCGCGCCAACGCTTTTAAGGAGGACCAGGAGGCGCTGGCGGCCACCCACGACAAGATTCAGGCCGCCAAGATATCCATCCAGGCCATGCAGGTCGAGATGCGCACCACAATTCAGCAGACCACGCCTGACCCGCTCATGGCTTTCACGATTCCAGAGATTTCAGTAGGGGTCTTGGCTAGGGCGGGTGAGGATGCACGGGCGTTGGTCCAGTCCGAAGCTTGCACGAAGTTCAAGAAATTGCTTGGGAACCTACCTCCACCTCCCGCCTCTTCGAGTAGCGCCGGCTCTCAGGAATGCGCTGGAGGTCTACGGCAGCATTTCCAGGAGGCGAGCATCAGCCAGTACCTGAGGATATGTAATTGGGTGAAGCGCAGGAACCCCAGGTCGAGAAGCTCATCGAAGTTCCCCGCGAAGACTCACCCGATCACAAGGTGGGCTCCGCCAAGCCGCTGTTAAACATGGGCGACAAGGCCAAGCGTATCAAGCCGAGTGGGTAATAATTCGCGCGATTCACCACCACTGTTGTCTGGGCTCCCTTTGTCATCCAATGGCTGTCCTGTTCCTCTGCTCTGAGGTGCACACAGTCTTGTGATGCCGAGTGATACTCATGTCGGTGAAACGCTCAACGGTTCTTCATGGAATGTCCTTCGCAGATGCTCGGCCGAGACGGACGCGATGGTGGTGCACGCGCAGGAGGTCGGTGTCTCGGAGCATGTCGTTGGCCAGATGACCGCGTCAGCGCGCAGTCTTGGATGCCGCTCACGTTTAAACCTGTCTCGCATCAATCCCGACACGGGCAAACTTTCGTCTGGCGTTGCCGTCTTCGCCAGCTGGCTATCGATATGAGATGGCCACAGGAGGGGCAAGGTGGGATCGTACGCATCGCCTCATCAAGGTTTTACTTAGACTTGCAGGCTGGCCCACCATCATTGTTTTCTCCGTTTGTTTACTCACGTTCTGTAGAGGGCCCCAGCGAGGCCAACCTACAGATTCTAAGTTCCCTAGGACGCTCTGTATCGGACCCGACCCGCACGTTTATAGCAGGTGGCTGGAACTTGAGTCACGAAGTTTTGAAGGAGCTGGCTTCCCCAGAAAGAGGGGCATGATTGTCATGGATCCGCTCGCGCACACGTGCAGCCCCCCATCGTCGAACAATGGCATCGACTATTTTGTTGTGGGCCCTGGACTCGCTCGCATGATCGCTGATGTTCGCGTCGACCTCGTTTGGGAAATGAAGCCGCGTCGCCCTACTCGGCTTGATGTTAGCAAATCTGCTCTTCATATCAAGCAGCTCGTGCACAGGGCCCACCAGCGCTGGCCAACCGACCCCCACTTTGGACCTGAACCCGCATCCCCTGTTCAGTGGCAAAGCGCGCTTGCTCATGCAGCGCAAGCTACTTCACGTGCTGAGTTTAATCCAGCTAGATTAGCGTGGCAGTTTCCCTCACGACGAAAGCGTGGGGGT